CCCCAAAACCCCAAAACCCCAAAACCCCTTTTATTTATAAACTTATTGGTTATTAAATTGAGGTAGGTAGTCATGGGGGTTGGAATGAGGTTTAGCACGATTGGAGATGGAGACTATGAATACGGATAGGAGAAGGTAAGTATGGGGGGTGGGTATAGATGGGGGTGGGTTGGGTTATATTTTATGGGGTAGTTAGGTATTGATGGTTTTAAGGGAGATATGATTAGTTTTGGGAATTTTGAGTATCTTTAAGGATGTAGAAATGGGGTTGGAGAAGGCTAACCCATATTTCTGACAGTATTCGCATTTCTTATTTCCTCTTTTTAACTTTTTCTTCTATAATCCTTTTGCAAATTATTGTTCTTCATTCTGCTAATCCCGAATATTGTATAGTTTGAAAGAAAAAGTTCATGAGACAGCAAGGAAGGTAAATTTTGGTTTGGAATTTTTACAATGTCAAATATACAATCTAAATCATCTTAACTAAATTAAAATTATGATTAAATTCTCCTTCTCCACATCCATCATATAATATGCTTCTTTAAAGCCATTCTAAGCTTTGCTTTCAAATAAAATAGCTAGATGTACTAATTGTCTTATTTTATCCAAAAATTCTTAAAAAAATATCAGTTTCTAATCCTCTTATCTTCATTATTAAAGTTTCAACCTAGGCAAACGGCAGCTTGAACACTCTACGTACAAAGAAGAAGGTGGGGTTTGCTCCACAGGGGTTCAACAATTATTCTTCAACCAGAAAAACTCAGAGAAAGAACGGCCTCCCAAAGCTAAAATAACTTCATCGGAAACTATTTTGTAGACGAAGAAGAGAAAGTGCCAGGTAGGAACAGCATTGATCGGAAGAAGGACAAAGACCATACCTCCATTAGAGTAAATCCTTTCATTATTGTTTAGTCTAGCCGCAAGGATGTCTCTCTTAAACTCCCAGAACTCAAGAACAATGGAATCTTCACATCTTTTAACGAAGGTGTTACTAGTTTTAAAGCAACTCTGGAGAAATAGCTCCAAGAAATCAAGCAAAGGCAGTTTTTCAAAACGCAAGATTAATAATTCAAAAAAGAGAATTTTGGTAAAGGTTCAAAAGGGGCTAAAAGACTGTTCTCCACGAAGTAAGGGAAAGAAATCTGTAATGAAATCTCCATTAGTTCCAATTGTTTATAAACCAATGGATAACATTAAGACTCCTGGGCATATGAACTCTCCTAAGAGAGGGTTGAATCTTTTCAAAGGTATTGCGCCGTCTGAGAGTTCATTTAAAGATAATCTAAGCTTTAATAAAAATCATAAACTGGTGAGGAAAATTAAGAAGAACTGTAAGTTTTGCACTTATTTTTAGTACTAAACACAAGAAGAATTACTCAACAAATTACTGACTCAATCAGGGTGACTAATGATGAATCTGACTCTGAGTATTACAAGAAGATCCAGGATGGAGTTGAGATTCAATCCATGACAAGTCTCTATGCATCTACTCCAGATAATAAGAATGAGCTCAAGCCTGATGACCTTATAGCAGGCGAGGAAGCTATTCATAACATGCATTCTAAATTTAAGAAGTATAGAAGGATCAAGGAGAAGGAAGAGTTTGAAGGAAAAGAACCTAAATATCCTCTTGTACAGTTCATAGATGCAGCTGATCGGCGAAACATTTTACCAAAGCCAATAGGACTAATTAATAAAAGTCCTCAGATGAAGAAATATCCTCTTGAGAGTGTCAAGAGTATCTTCGTAGGAAAAGATTATGCCTTTCCATTCTCTGAAGGCATACAGATCATTAACAAACTAAAAGACCTTGACCTTAGCTGTAGCGATTTGGGTAATGGAATGCTAATTCCTATCCTAAAGAAGCTACCTACTTCTCTTGAAAAACTAGATGTTAGTAGCAATAGGAACTTTTCTGACAAGGTTTACCACATTATTGCTTCCTTACTTGAGGATAAAGATAGAAGGTACATCTAAATCTTAAGATATAGTATAAAATCACTAAGTTTGGACAACACAAACTTAAACGACAAGAATCTTGAGATTATTCACTATTCACTAATTTATGCATCTAGTTTGGAAAGCCTCGATCTTAGTAGAAACAAGCTGAGTGATGAAGGAGCTATTATTCTGAGCGATATCATTAGCTCTAATACTACTTTAAAAACACTATTGATCCATTGGAACAAAATCATGGCAAAAGGAGGAATCGCTATAGCTCATGCCTTAAAAGGAAACTCCGGGATAGAAACTTTTGATGTTTCTTTCAATAATTTTGGAGGAGGATTTGATGACAATAAATGCTCACAAGCATTCAAGAGTTGTTTTAAAGAAAACAAAACTTTAGCTCATATTGATATTTCCTTCTGTGGACTTAACCAAGAAGAGATCATCATAATTAATGAAGGATTATCAGAGAACCATACAAGTGAGAATATTTTATAATTTTCTAGTTTGGGGCATCCATTGCCTTGGGAATGCAGGGAAAGTTGACCAAATGGGATACCTGGTCCCTTTTACTTTGCGAGATGACCCAATCACTTATACCTTCTCAAGAATAAAGGGAGAACTCCAGGCTGGCCTAGTTCCAAAAGAGCAAGTTGGAGACATTAACAAAACTAATTGATGGATTTGAGAGGGCTGGGTTGCACACAAATTTGAATTCACTCCAGGCATTTCTACCGAAGAGCCAATAAATAATGAGAAAGAGCTAACATTGCATGCAGAGTTTGATAATTATCATCCTGATCTCTTATTAGCAGATGAGGCTAAGAGTGGCACTTTTTCATCTTACAGGATGATTCCTCCTCTAGAATGAAAATATTACTTTATGAATGAAGATGAAGCAGCCATTTTAGCAGCAGATCTTCCTCAACAAGAGTGAATGCTAATTGATGAGGATAGAAAACTGGATAAAGTTAATGTATTAGCAAATCTTGAGCAAAACAAGTGTGTTTATGATCAAGAATACAGGTCTAAGCAACCTTGTATTCCAAGACCTCCACCAAAGTTCATGGTTAAATAAGGAGAGGATCAAAACTCCTTGGGACTTCTTTAAGTCTGTGTTCAAAGGTATTTGTCGATTATTAATAAATCTAGATTACAAGCCTGATACACCAACCCTTCTAGAGGGCTGTTTCGAATATGACTGGAAATGCAGCAAGATCACTAAATTAGTGAAGAATGAGGAAGATCAAGCTGAAGTGAAGAAGATACTTAAATCTCATTACAAAGAATTGTAAGTCATGGTGTCAACTTTAGCCGAGAGGTGTATAAATTCCAAGGAGCGCTGAACCCAGCAGGGCTATATCCCAGTATTGGTTCTAATGTGATCAGTGAGATTGTAGCAAGTTGTAAACACTTGGTTGACAATTCCACCCTGAATCTTTCTGATATCGACCTGGAATTTGTTGCTACAAATGCTGGGAACAAGGTAGGTGAATATTTCTAACCTTTAGAATAATCCTAGAAACCCTGAAAGACAGCTGGTGAGATACCAGCTGATGGAATATTTTGTAAGAATAGCAAAATCAAAATTTATCAGGAACAAAATCTGCGACACCTTTGGTGAAGCAGTTAAGAAAATATATGATGAGCATCTAAAGGAATTCTTTGAAAAATATGACTGCCACAAGTGGAGGACTACATACTTGTGGAATGAGCATTGAGATTATGTGTTTAAAAGATACATGCCAGCAATCAAAAAGGTCTATGAAAAATTCTCAGGCAGGTTTGCTCTCCCTGGTGCAACTAAGTATATGTCATCGGAAGAATTCTTTGACCTTATTGATATAATAGGAGTTGTAAGCGATGATTTTGGGCAAAGAGAAATCTCCCCTATTTTCAATTGTTCAATGATGACTCAGAAAGATGAACTAGAAAGTGATAGACATATTAATATGACTCTCATTGAATTTATTGAAGCAATTGGAAGACTAGCTTATAAAATTAAGCTACCAATACCATTCGAGTATCTGAATCTGATATTCGATGAAATGGTTAATGAGAACACAAGCATGGAAAATCAACCATTATTCATCTCTATTGAGACACTGATAGTCCAGATGATAAAATGCTGACTCAAGAAGGACTTTGCAGAAACATTCTTAGAAAATATGGAGAAGTATTATAAAGATCAATACAATGCTCCAAAGAGAACAAGATATGCACATATAGGTGGCCCATACTAATTCAACTCATATTTCTAAAGTAGGGGTTTTGGGGTTTTGGGGTTTTGGGGTTTTGGGGTTTTGGGG